CTAGAGCTTCTCGACATTTACATGAATCCAATTGGCAGGAATAAATGCTAGTTCCAGCTTTCTGTCCCAGCAGTAGGCTCCCCAAACCATAAGAGATGCGCCACCGAAGTTACGTCGACTGAACCGCATCGGGATCTTCTCTTAAACCACACCGGTAACATCAAGCGCCGTCTGGTCCATCCAGTTTGAATTTTTTCCTTGTTAGAAAGGATAACCTGAACATGAGAGCTTGCTCTGCAATTCTGAGGTAGCGTTTATTTTTGTCACCACACTTGTTTCCAATCCACCATGACATTCTTCCTAGCACGTTGAAGACGAGGCGATTTGTGAGTGCCAGCAAGGCGTGATGCCATCTTTGAAACTTCCTTCACTACGCCACTATTGCGTGTAAAGCCACAAGTCGTCCATTTCGAGACAGAGAGCTCCAGTTCTGCATGAGTGTGATTGACGCTGTAGGTGCTGTTGGAACCTTGCTTCCACGTCTGCCGTTCTTCTCCGGAGTACAGCTTGGGTTAACGTTCGTTAACTCCACCGCTGTCGTAAGTTTCAGGAGTCTTGAGATGGGAGCAAACGACGCAAAAGTCCTGCCGATTTCCTTGGCAGTCTGCCGACTGGTGAGTCTGTCTCGCTGTAGAGTCCAAATATGAGCCCTTTACTCTGTGGACAGATAATGATCACCGGGAATCAAGGTGAGGCACAACGTCGTTTACCGCGATAACCGGCATGAAACAGGAAAAAAAGTTCAGATCAAATGGGAGCGCATAGATGGAAATGGTTGAGCCCTCGAAGAATATCTTTGAGAACTTCCACAAGACCTGTTCTTTCTGGACCTGTTCCTTTCGTATGTTAATACAGAGAATCTAACAGCGTATACCAAAAAATTAGATAAGCGCCTCAAGACATATCCTTAGTAAAATTGGGGGCAGACGACAGTGGCGAAACGCTCTGCATGTTCAGTGCTTCATTTGACTATCAGTTCCAAAAGTCTAGATCTTCATCAGTTCGTGTCAAAGGAGCGCCTTCTTTACATTTCACGTCGCATGTCATTTTGAAAGTCACGACACATTTCTGTATTTTCATGAGAATCTCGGACTGTGTTCCAACATGCAAAAGAAATGGCGCTGTTCATAAAAGAGCTGTCTTAGAAATCACTTCATCCAAATAAGACGCGGATACTGTTTTGCGCATGTCTTGTATTAGCGCAATGTAACCATGTAACAACCAGGATTTGCCTTCCTCCGAAAAAGCTTTGCAGTTTTTCGTCTTCCATATACTCTGTCCTAGACAATGTTCAACGTAAATGTTATGTCACTAACAGTATAGTCAATGCTTCATCCGCTACATCTTCCTTGATTCAGCGGTCCATTCATTTTTAGCCTTCGAGTGCTAGAGGAAGAAGCGGAGAGGGAATACTCACAAGGGCCCGTATTCGGCGCGGTTTTGACGTCAGGCGGCGGCAGGGCGGAGCG